TGGGCAGATGGCATTAACAATTAGGATAACAACTGTGAAAGAGAAACAATCCGATTAGATGTAGAGAAACAATAATCCAACTCTTCTTTTTGGTCTCGTCGTTTTCTGTTATGCCTTCCTCTTGTTCAGATACAGCAGTACTCTAAATTCTGCTTTATTCTTAAACATCTCACTTTTCAACAGACTAACCTAATATTTTACCATTATTATAGAGGCACCAATTATTAACATCATCTGAAAAAGACGATGAGTAACTTTTGAAAATACTTTAGTATAAATGTATTTAAAATTAATTTCTGCTATAAATAGCCATTGAAAATCTACCCAGTTAACTGTAATGTGAAAATGAAGGTGATCTAGAGAAAGCACTTTTGTGCTTATAAAGAATAATTATTTGTGCTTTTGTATTTATGTTGTCACAATGCTTTTAAAATACATTTTTACTGTCAGTGTTTTTCTTGCACCTAAAAAGCAGATTAAACTGCCTCTGCCAAACCTTGATCCTTTATAACATTTATGAGACATAGGTAGGAACGGGTACCTTTGACATCTGAATCGATTCGGTACTAATTCCCGGTACCTAGGAATCGATACCGGTACTTAACGGTAGCAATTTAAGATACTTTTGAGTGTTTCATATTTTAATTATCTTTTATAATAAAATATATTTTTTTCTCAATATATAACCACATTTGATAAATATCAGGATAAATAACATACAACTGTTTGTATTTTAACATCGTCCTTGTAGTTTTATAAGCTGATAATTAAACTGAAGTAAACATCTTTACTGTGAACTAAATTTACTGTGTATCTTCATTCCTTTTGCCGTCCTTTTTCATTTGATTTTTCCTACTGGGAAGTTAGAATTTCCGAGGAGAAAGCGAACGCACCATTAGCTGATAACAATGGTGACAATGGAAGCTAATTTATCAAGCTAACGTTATCTTAAACAGTTATTTAGCTGCTGGAGCAGATTTAAACGATGATGCCTCACACTTAGATCGTTGTCGCTGGTTTCATCACCCGTCGCATTTAGTAAAGTGAAGCCAAACTTTAGAGAGCATTCACGTTCTTCTATTCGGAAAATCGGAGTTCCGAGGAGAAAGCGAACGCACCATTAGCGGAACAGAAGCTACCATATCAAGCTAACGTTATCTTAAACATTTTATTTACCTACCGGAGCAGATTAAGATGAGGATGTCTCACTTAGATCGTTGTCGCTGGTTTCATCATCACCCAGTTACCCATCACATTTAGTGAAGTGGACCCAAGCGTTAGTGTGCGTTCTTTCTACCATGCTGCTCTGTTTACAACTGGCTCGCAGCGACCGACGACATAACGGTCTTGCGCATGCGCAGCTGTCTGTGCAAGTTCTTGTTATGAGGGACGGGTACCAAAACGTGGCACCATTTCAAATGACGTGAATCGGTGCTCAGTCGGTACTATGGAATTCGGTCGTACCTTAAAAAGTACCGAATTCGGTACCCATCCCTAGACATAGGGTTAGGTTTGCAGTAACACACAAACTAACTGGCCTCAAGGTAACTAGCAGTAAGCTCTTCATCTCTTTTTCTCCAAACTGACCTTTGGTAATGCTAGTATCTCACTGGGCTGTGATTCTTATTTACAGAAAACACGCTAAATTGGTATAAGGTCATAAAAAGTCTTACTCATCATCCCGTCAATGCTTTAAGTTGACCACTGTATTAACGATGTGTGGTGTGAAGGGGTGGGGGGTGGGGGGGTGGGGTTGGAGTTGATCCCCGGTGGCCAGGTGTGAGGAATTACTGCTCTGATGACAATGCGGGAAGGATTGAAGAGACCGAGGAGGAGAATGCTCGTGGTTGGGAGGACAGTCAGTCTGTGTGTGCAGACGTGGAGCGCTGGTATCAGGATTTGGGTGCCGATCTCAGCTGTTTAAAGCTGCCGTCTGCAAAAACAGCTAGCAAGAGGTGAGCCGTTCCAGTGAGAGGAGAGGAGGTTTACTGCCTCCTGTAGTTAGCCAGGGCCAGGTCCAGGCGCCGCGATCTGCAGCTCCTGCTCTCCCCATCTGCTTTACCTGCTGGCAGTTACCAGGCCGGAGGATTTAACCGCCGCCAGATGCGTCAACCCCCCAGGACGTTGGGTGGTGCTGGAGCTCAGACCCCGGGGGAGAGCTAGTTTTGTACTGGAGTGTTTTAAGCAGGGAGGGATAGTGTTATTGGTGCTTGCTGCAGTGGGATCATTGTTGTGTTTAATAAAAGGACTTGATATTGTGAACCAGCATCTTGAAGGCTCTGACGAGGACAAGATTTCTGTCCACAGCAAAACCATTACTCATTATAGTTATCGGCTGATATTAAAATGTAATACTGGCAATGATCGGTGCCGGTTTTTACCCCCCTAATGGCTCAGCCGTTGCATACCATGAACATTAAACACCAAACTCTTCAGCTACTTCTCTTCTCACTCAAGATGTCAAAACACAGGTTTAGGGAATTCCAGTCCGACGTCATTCCCTTGTTTTATTGTCTATGGAGTGTTTCCCCTACTTAAGCCTGATTCATGCTTCTCCGTCAGCTCCAAAAAGGACAGACACGCACGCACGGACGGAGGTGTTTTGCCCTCATACTTCTCCGTCTCCTGGGGAGTGTTGTAAAGCAATTCCCTGCCAGGACAGCAGAGGGCGTAGCGCTGTTCCAAGATAGTGTGTTTATATTGTGTTTTTTGTATATAAGAGACTTTTTAACACAGACACATTTGTCTCTCATCCTCCTCCACATCTTCATGCTCGCCACCTCTAAACCCACGTTTCCTGTCATTTCCCACTCCTCCAGTCACGGGGGAATGAAACGTTCATGCTTTTAGAGTTTTTTCGCAACATATTCCCCAAGCTTCTCCGTGTCTGCCGCTAGTTATCCTCGGTTCTCTTTAGGTTTTTGAGGGCGCAATGGCGGCGGTGTAGCCGACAGCAGCGCCCTCACCAATCACAAGCTTGCGTTCTCCATCTCGACGGACGAATGCTTAGAAAAGAAAGCTCGACTCTGTCCATCCTTGCGAGCCTGCTGGAGAGCCCCTGCAATAATGGCGTTGCGTGTCTCCGCACTGACGCAGACGCAGAAGAATGACTCAGGCATTAGGTGTAACACGGCTGCTAAATCAACCCGGGAAGAAACACGGAAGCGAAATGCTCCGTGCTCAACTATTACCCCTACCCCGCTCTCACGGCAGCGTATAGGTCCACTAATGCACACACCCCTCCCCCTGTTTTCATGGACGGCACAGAGCTGCAAAACGGTCCCAAGCACGCACCCCACCCCCACCCCTCAGTGCCAACGCACGGCTGTATTTGCAAATCAGTCCATTGCTCAAAGAGTCACATGTACCTAACCCTAGTATGTACTGTACTATTTGATGGTGTTACCACTTTGGCTCGACGATATTATCAGAAGACCGCTTCCGTGGCTCGTCACTCCTGGAAGTTAACAGTTTCAGCTTGAGTGAGCCGTTTACATACAGATGTGGTTTCCTGCCACATCATCTGGGTGCTTCAGCACGATTAGAACCAGTTGGACTTCAGCCAGACTAAAACATTTACATGCATTTAAAAAAAAAACGATGTCAGTCTATTAAGGGCAATCATTCAGTTTTCTGATGCACATGTAAACACACTGACTGTTACAACTTGTATTTAAACCAGTTAACTATCAGGCATTGTGGATATTTTCATTGCAAGTTCCAAATGAGTTTGAGATTAGTTAACCCTACAAGTTTTACATTTTTCCCACATTTCATCGTAGTTAACTTGTTTCTGACACGTTATAAATACACAGTAAACTAAAAAGGTGTTAGCTTAGCAAATGACGATTGTTGAAAACACAAGATTTAATGTAAGTTATCGAATTTTACAATAATGGCTGCATGATTGCAGATAAAGACAGGTATTATTTTTGAGTTTATGCTTTCCATCTATAAAAGAAATGAGAAGAATCCACAGAATGAACGTCTAGAGTTTGAGGACATTATATGAAACGTCATCCTTGCTACCGACTCCCAGCAAGAACACAATCAAGGCTAAAAGCCAAGTTTGTTACATAGATTTAATCATGTTTTCTGACTCCAAAGAAACGGAAAAACTTTTATTTATAAGGATTCTTAGTGGCTCAATGAGAAAAAAGTTGACTGAAGTACTGTTTTATACAAAAGATTATATAACGTTCTCTATAAATAAAACCAAAGCAAGTGCAACATTTACAGATCTGTGGGCGGGAAATTACATTTGAGTCTTTTTACATTTTTCCACAAAGCCACCAGAAACATGCTTGACAATTAAATGGATCAACATAAAGAACGTTCCAGACTGAAGCCTTCCGTTTTTGGGGTATGTGTTTGACGCCTCGTTGGCTAGTGTTTCTGACTCCTGAGTGCTGAACTCACAAAAAAGTCACTAAAAAATACATTTTGTACAACTTATTAATATGGCTGTGAAACCCTCCCTAAAATAAAGCTGTGTTTTATCTTCACGTAAAAGCTTGTAAATGGTAAATAATAATTAAAAAAAACCACAGTAAACGTACCTATTTTTACAACCTGAAAACCTAAATGTCATCGTGGTTTTCCGCTTTACGAGCTTTGTAACAGCTCCATCTTCCCACTGAGTAGCCCTCGGGCCTGAAAACAGCTGACATGCTATGAAACAGGTTGGAGGGAAGCAGAAAGGAGCCACCATAAACAACTTACTTCAGATTTCAACAACAGCGGCACCGTGGGATTAAATTTTCTACATAGTTATCTGAACAGAGTGGTTTCCTCATCATTCAGGCATAAAGTACCTGCTGTAAAGGTCAACGAGAACAAAAGCGCTGCTTCTCCTCTCACTGCCTGCCAGAAAAAAAAAAAAAACAGGAATCCTGCCTGAACGAAGCCAGTGTTTGAGTCTCTGATGCGTGCAGGCGGATCAGCGGAGGCATACAGAAACAGGACACGTGCCTCTGCTCGGGTTCTGTGGCTCGACTTACCGAGGTGTCCTTCTTTTCATTCCAGCGCGTGATGAAGCTGTTCTCCCTCTCCATCTGTTGCACCTGATCTTCGTTGACCTGTTGGGAGTCCAAACACACAGACCAGAATCCAGACTCGTTCCAGAACCACATGTCGGTGACGGGAACCCTTTTGAGCATTTAAGTGTGAAAAGTGGAGGATCAGGAGGGGGAAGGGGCTTCACGTGAAATGGGTCGCTCGGCAAACGCTTCTCAAACTAATTTCTTAAGAGAAACTTGGCTGGGAGTGTTTAACACCGCTTTTCCAAAGCTGCGAGTGGGGAAACGACTATTCTTTTTCCAGCTTCTCCTTTTTTCTAACTTCATTATCATTTTCAAAGAACAACTTGCTTTGTCAGAATTGTACGAGCGGCAGAGAAGATTGTGAGGGACTCGCAAACTCATCGTGTGCGTGTTTAGACCTGATAATGGGCCCCGTCGACGACATCCAGCACAGAACCGGCGCTTTAATTAGCAAGGCGTCTCACTCTTTTTATGTCACTGTGAGTGTATTCACCCAGCGTTGGGTTTATGATTGGTTGAGCTTAATGGCTATTTGTCATGCGAATGACGGCGTCCCGAACCGATTTGGAGCAAACGCTCACACTTTATTGCCTGAACGGGAAAAAGCCGGGCGTTCCGCAGGGAATTAAGAGTCGCTTGGTGCTGCATATCCCATAAAGCCAGGCAGCTCTCCAAGGGTAACGCTGATCCCCCACCCACCCCGCTCCACCGCTCACCCATCCACACATCAGCAAAGTCAGGCCTGTTGTGAAGATTTGGCTGCAACAATTCTGCTCCCTAGACGGTTGGAAGTAAAGGAGCGTAAATGAAGTCATGCCTGCAGCTCGGTTTAAATATGTATTATGGAATTATCTGGATCTTCTGTTTATCTCTGTCACTCTTGTTAGAACTGATTCAGCAAGCAGAGAGGCTAATAAGTCTGACTGTGTCTGCTACAAGACGTACAACACGTCTATCAGGAGCTAGCAGGGACAAATAACAGATCTGACACTGAGAGGAAAGGTTTAACGTCGCTATAGCAAATGGTCACAGAAACCCACCCCTCCTCTCAGGTATCATCCCCGAGGTGCTTCTGCTGGAACCAGAAACTCGCAGAGGAAACGAGCCGGCGCTAAACACCAGTCGCCGTTTTCTAGGTCCAAACGTCTTTTGTCGTCCGTGAATTCAAATGGTGATTTTCTTTTTTGGGACTCTGGAAGTTTGTTCTAAAGTTAAAGTGGTAGCAGCTGTTTTTCCTTCTCTGGTGTTATTGAGCAGAGAGCCTCTCACACCAGTGGCGTTCTGCTGCTAAATGCATGAGTGTGTAATGAGTGGAGGACTCAGGGAAGTGCGGGGGTCAACGAGACCGACAAACGAATGTTACTGAATAGTTGCTTTTGGTCCATAACATTTGCTTATTCATATTTTTCATTCTTCTTTTCTATCTCCACAATATATTTATAGTTTTTATAGTCAGAAAATTATTAAGACGCCTTAAAAATGTTTTAAGCTAACTTGTTTTTCAAATTCGCTACAGCAGCTTTAAGCGACGGACGTGCTATCCAGTAGAGCCGTCAGTCAGTGGCATCAGGAATGTGTGTGTGTGTGTGTGTGTGTGTGTGTGTGTGTGTGTCCAGAGCCAGTGTTACCAACTGTCTCTGACAGAAGTAGCTGAAGTCGACCCAGAAAGTCGCTAGATGTCACCAGATGATGACACGATAATTTGCCATTTAGCAATTGATGGCGTCGTCATGTCATGCTACGTTTGCGTACTTCTAAAAATATCCATGTGGCTAGTCTTCATTTTCTCCTCAATATCCAACACGAACATAAAATAGAAATAAAAATATCCCACATTGATACGATCTGCTGTAACAACAAACTCGGTGCAGATCTGAGTCACCTTTCCTTCAAACTTGTTGATAGGAGAATGGCTGAAGAAGTCTTAAGGGGATTTTATTTCAGCTAAAATCAAAAAGGTTTATACACTGCAAGAGAAAAATAAAATAAACTGATTCTCTTGTTCTGGCATTAGAGCATAAAGAATAAGCAACAGCAGATCATTTTTAGAGACCAAAGTGAGTTAAAATGGCTGAGGGGTTCCTTATTTTGGTTGTTTTTGTGTAAAACAGAGTCATGAGGCTCCTGCTTGCCTCCAGCGACAGATCTGCTGAGAAAGCTATCAGGGTTAGTTTTTTCCTTTGTGTCCCTTTTTTAGCTTTTATATTATTGCTGTTCTCTACGGGACGTGTGCGTATGAGTGTGTTTTACCGTTTGCAGACACCTGCGTCACACTGCAGTGATTCCTAAAAAGGTTTATTTTCATAATTTATGCTGAACATTCTCTAACTCACAGGAAGGAGACCTCACCCAGACGCAAATCAGACCGCGGGGATGGAAGATTTTTGACTCACATTGAAGAGTGTAATGTAGTTGTTGATCAGATCGAGAACCACGCTGATTTCCTGCGGGGTTGGTCCCCGAGTCTGGAACAAGCAGGAGGAGAAGACAGAGGCCAGCTTTTCACTCTGCATTTGGTTAAGGTGGGAACACTGCTGGATCCTGAACAAAAACCAATCAAAGAAAACCCCAGAATTCAAACAGGAAGCCACAAGAATTCACAAAGTCTTTAACACACACACACACACACACACACACACACACACACACACACACACACACACACACACACACACACACACACACACACACACACACACACACACACACACACACACACAATTGAATAAAATGCTGGGCTTTAGGCCAAAATCAGCACAGACCCAATTAAATCTTGTCGTAATTAACAGCTACATCACAGCTCGCGCAGGTATCTGAGGGACCGGTGTGTAATGTGAGCATCACTGAGTGAGACATAAGGACAGCAGAGTGTTTGTGTCTTAATCCAATTAGAGGTGGAAGAACTAGATCCAGAACTAGCAGCTTTGTGCTGCAACAGAACCAGATCCAGCCTGTGATTCTGCGTTTGTACAAAAGTGTTCCTGTTCTATTTAAAATCTGTTATGTTCCACTTGAACGTTGCATACATGGAGCTTGTTTTTTTATGGCATGTAGACTGAAAATTGGACATTTTTATTGAAATAAGAAAAAAAAGTCTCCACTTGAGCAACATGTTAGCTAACTGCCTGGGTTTCAATAATGTGCAACACAATCTGTCTTAGAAGGAAAATACCAGTAAGCTATGTGGAATTTCTTCACTATTTTCAACCCAAGGACATCGTTTGCTGAGCGATCAGCAGCCATTTCTGTTTAAGCAGGCTTTCTGAAGGACGTGCCAGCATATTCATTGTGCCGTATTTATGAACCTCACCAGACTGGTGGAACACTGACAACCAAAAATGACTAAAAAAAATCATCACGCATGAGATAGAAGCCCATTAGAAGACGGAAGAGGACAATAGTCTGATCAAAGAACAGAACAACGTTCAACATGGTAAAAGCATCACTTAGGGTTATATTATTATCATAGTTTTGTTCTAACGTTAAACTCACTCATCTGCTCAGAGTGTAGGTATACCTGTACAGGTGCTGCAGCAGAGCCTCAAGAGTTGACCTGTTGATCTTTGGTAAACTCTGGATAAACGTGAAGTACTTCTCCACTCTCCTTCTCTCATCCTTCTCATCTGCCAAATCACACAGACACCAATTAGAAGAACATCAATTTAATTATATTTAGTTAGAAATTTGGGCTAGTTTGGTGACTGATTTGGGTTTGGCATCACCAAGGGCGTCAGTTTGTTGTCAGAATTGCTGGGGACAATAACCATACACTTGAGTGGTGTTTAAAAATTGCTGGGGACAATAAAGTAGGCTAGCACAGGGGTCGGCAATCCGCGGCTCTGGAGCCGCATGCGGCTCTTGCTTGTAAAATAATGAATGGATATTTAAATAAAAAGCTTTATATTTTACTGCATTAATTTTACATCTGTATGCCAATTCTAAATGTAAAGATTGTCTGCGTAAACCTGAACAGTTCCGACCCGGTCTTACTGTGAGACCGGGTTGACGCGTCACGCTTGTGCGTAATCATATAGGCGCTTCTGAGCTGCTTTCTGACCTTCCCCACCTACAAAGTTTAATTACAACAATCAAACGTGACAGAGCCCGAATTTGTATTCTGAACAGTCTAAACATGTTTAAAAAAGAAACGTGTGACAAAAGTGGCACCTGCTCAGTAAAACCACCGACAGGGTGAAAAATACCAAAAATTGAAGGCAGAGACGGGCTACAACTTCTGGATCCACTTTATATAAATCATTTTATTGATTATCGTCTAATGAAAGATAATTAAGACGCACACGAGCGATCAGGCGCGTTGCAAGCTTTTCAAAAGTGTGGGGGATGTTGTCTATGCCTAAAATAAGTTCATGTTATTCATCTTGTTAGTTTAATTTCCATAATAGCGGAGCAGGTGCGAATTTTAGACGCGTCACGCATGTCTCAGTTTTAAACATGTTTAAACTGTTCAGAATACAAATCCAGGCTCTGCCTCGTTAGATTGGTGTAACTAAAGTTTGTACTGAATGAAACTTTACATGAAACCATGTTGAAAAGAAAATGATCCGATTAAATCGTTCCCCCCTCATTTACAGTCAGTACAGCGCAGTGCGCGTGGCTCTGGGGTTAATCAAGTTTAATTGTAACATTAATGTGTTACTGGACACGCTGGTCTGGTTGGTTAGACCAGTGTTTGAAGTGGAAAACACACACACACACACACACACACTCACCAATTAAAATAATGCTGATAGCGTGGACTAGAAGACAGATGATGGTTTACGTATTTAAATGATGATCAGGCTGCTGTAAAATGTAATCTCCATCCACATCCAGACACAATTATCCTCTATTCTTTCTCTAGTTGCTCTGCTCTTGTCTGGGCTGATCAGCTGATGGTGCGCGCGGCTCGCCTAACTAGCGGCTGATGCACATTTTACGCATTTGGAGAGGTGGGGAAGCTTTGCTTTTACTGGAAGATGGTCCACTTAACGCACGGTTGTAGACTAAATATTAATGACAAATGAATGAAAATTAAATTGGGAGTTTTTACTTCATATTTTAGAAATAAAAATGATGGGGGAACACATTTATGACGTCTTTTTAAACGAAATTTTCTAGCGCGACCTGCCTGCTTGACTTAAGTCACTGCTTATTAAGGTCCGTCCAGAATTACCGTGGCCCACCCAAAAATGAAAACCTGGTGCCGCACCTGTTATAAACCTCTGCAAATTGTTGTTCTTCACTTTATCAAACTCAGACTTTGTACAGCTAATGTCAAGATGTAAAATTATGAATTCAGTCGAGCTCTTCCGTCCCTCCCTCTCCTGCTCTCCTGGAAACCCGACATCGGCTGTTAGAAGCGGGAGGTGAAGAAGGAGATGAGGCAAACAGAGTGAGTGCGACGTAAAGAAACCAGACTGGTGTGGAGGTGAGCAAAACAGCTGGAAAAGTGTGGATGTTGAATCCCCCACGGGTGCGATGCCCCCGGCTGCTGTCACCTGTTGTGATCAGCTCTCTGCTGTCTGAGGGTAGGCCCCGCCCGCAACGCTGCGGCTACGGCGGTGTTTTCTTTACTGTGGGAAACGGGTAATAATGGCTCTTTGGGGAACAGGTTGCCGACCCCTGGTATAAGATCTGAGCTGGTAAAACAAAAATCCTCATCAGCAGGCTTTTTTGAAAGTGGGGGGGACACAGCAGCCAATCACAAATTTTGCCGGGGCATGTCCCCGGCGTCCCCGGTTAAAATGACGCCTATGGGCATCACCTTGCAGCGCCACTCTTTTGTTAGGATGTATAGACTTGGGCTTTTTTTACAAAACACCTGTCACTGAGGTCCTGGAGGGGATTTCCAGCAATTTCACTACACTTCCCTACAGGGCGTGTGGTGCAATGACACAGAACATGGTTGGATCACAGCAAAACCGCCTTCAGTGTACGGCACTCCAGATGCAGATATGCTCTAATGGGGTGGCGGTGGCAGAGGAGTTAAGTGCCTGCCCCGTAATCGGAAGGTTCGAGCCCCTCTCACCCTTTCGCTGTTGTTGCGTCCTTGGGCAAGGCACTTAACACACATTGCCTGCTGGTGGTGGTCATAAGGGCCGTTGGTGTCCGCATCCAGAGGGCTTACATCTGTCAGTGCGCCCCAGGGCAGCTGTGGCTACAATGTACCTCATCACCACCAGGGTGTGAATGTGTGTGTGAATGGGCGAATGACTGGTTGTGTTGTAAAGCACCTTGGGGGGTTCCAGGACTCTAGAAGCTGCTTTATCATTTTACCATTTAATGCTTTCCCAGTTTTCATTCCACTGTGATCCAACCACACCCCAAGTCCACGACTGGGAAAAAGCTATGCTAGATCTTGCCAACCTAGGAGGATCTGAATGACATGATAGGTCCATACCAAGCCCCCACAATGTGGCTCAAAAATTGAAGCAATCCCGGAAGTACCAAAACCTGCAGTTCCACCCTTATCCACTAGGGGCTGGTGTCAGAAGCGAGCAAATCCTCATTGACTCCCATGTTAAAAATACCAATTTCACAGCAGAAATAAACATGTTTACAGCCTGGTACCAAAACATGTTTTTTGTTTAAATGATCTAGTTTACACTCATGACAACTCTGAGGGGGGTGATTTTTTTCTCACTCTTCTGTTTAAGTGTATTAAAAGCCTAAAATTCTGTATAATAAATGAGCATCAGACCCACGTGACCACAGAGCTAGCTCCGTGGAAATGCCTCAGTAGAGCCTCGTTCTGGCTTGGAAACTGTTCTGGGATTTTGAGTCTCTGTGTTTGTGTATTCTTTTTTGGATATTATTTGTGCAATTGTTGGACAAAATGACTTGCCGTGGCATTAATTGCACTAATAGAGCGTCCAAGGAGTCTCCACTTCATTTTTTTCGGTAAGTAAAATTATATTCATGTAATTTAGGTCACTGCCGAGCTGAGCTTAGATTTTAACATGTACTGTTTAACCATGAAATTTAAATGTAATAGGGTAAAACCCAGTGCATTTAACATAATGCTGCACTTTAGAAAATGGGTTGAAGTATAACATGTTGGTGGAGCTGGGTTCCGACTATTGGCTTGTGGAGCTCTCGGGAGACCTCTGTTTTCCACCCGTTCTCCCCTCCCCGCAGCTCGGCGCATCTCTGTCTGATCGCGGCTTCTGACTGCTGCGCAGGCTGCCGGCTTGTGGAGCTCTGGGATGGAAACCTTTCCACCCGGTTCTCCCCAGTGGCAGCTCTGCGCATCTCAGATCGCAGCGGCACTTGTCTGCTGTGCGACTGCCGGCTTGTGGAGGTCTCGGAGACCTCTGTATTCCACCTGGTTTTACCCAGCGGTCAGCCCGGCGTATCTCTGACTCAGAAGCTCTGGTGTTGTGCACAGTTAACTCCGGTTGTAGCTAGGTTGCTACCTCCATTAGCTTAGCTCCCACCTCTGCATTAGCTTTGGGTTAGCTTCAGGTAAGCTTGTAGCTAGTTCGACCAGGTGTCGTCAGTTGATCCCAGCCTTACAGCCCCACCCTCAGCTCCACCTCTCTTCCCTTTTGTGGAATTGTCTGGGCTTGACAGAACCTGTGACACGGTCAAAATGGCGGTGGTGACCACCTCCCATTTCTCCTCAAAAACGTGTTATTGGAGCTTATGGAAATCCATTGTCCAATATTTATATGTCGATGGTTCATACCAATGGTATGAAATGGATGACTTTTTTTAAGACATTCAATTTCTGTCCAAAACAACAAAGAGCAAATATTCTTTAACTAAACTCCTGCCTGGTCTTCTAAGCCAGTGGTTCCCACTCTTCTGTCCTTGAGGATCCCTTGGCTGTGTGGTAACCTCACAATCTCAGCACAAACATGTTGTAGAAGAAGAAGAAGAAATGATCTTTTGTAAAGCACCTTTCAAGATAAAAATCATAAGGCGCTTGCATTTGATGAATTCCCACAAATTGGGTGGGGATCCCCTTGGTGGATCACAGACCCCAGTTTGGGAACCACTGTTCTAAGCTACATGGCCAAGATTTGTAAGGAAAATAAGCATAAACTGTCAAAAAGTAAAAAAAAATAATAATAATAATAATAATAAATAAAAACTTTGGATCATTAATGAAACTGAGATACCTTTTTTCCAGTTTAAATTGGATTTATGTAGAAACTGAGGTTGCACTGGTGGTTGAAGACTTCTCTGATTCT